CGGAAGGGGGAAGGTGAAGGGAGAGTGTGCGTGGAGAATGATGATCGCTACAGCTAACTGCAAAAAGTGGGAAGCCTGGAATGAATTGTCAGGCAGCTGGTTAGATGAAGACTTCTTTTCCACAAAGCATAATTACATTGAGGAACTTACTGTCTAAGGTTTAATGAAGACCAACAGTATAAATTATTTGAAAAACAATTTGACAAGATTGATGATTGAATTATTAAATATGATGTCCTCAAAGCCTCTAAACTGCTGATTTCTGCGAGCTGGGAGGATGTCCCAGGGAAAGATCACTCTGTGCATATTTTCTTCCCTGTTCACACTTTCTTATATCTTTTCACTGTCAAAGATGGTGGTCTGACCCAGTATGGTGATTCTGTGTCCTTGCAGCTTGGTCCTGCTTACCCAAAGTCTCTAATCCCACGGTAGCTGACGCCCCTCAGCTGGCACATATAGAACGTGGATGACCACCTCCTGCAGTAGGTGCAAAGCAAAAATATGGCAGTTGCTTCTAAACCCATCGTTTTTGCTGTAAGAAAAGCCAAACAACTAGGAAGACTTAGTTACACAACTGTAGTATGTATTTGCATGTTTGATTTGACAATGACAATACCAAGAGCTACATTTTCTGATAAACATGACTTGCAGCTGTGACAGATATGTAGGTCCAGTTTGTGAATAAACCTGATCTTATAATTACAGTGGAAAAATACTTGCATGTGACACTCTCAGCTATCTCAAGAAGACAGCAAAAATGAACTCACAAGTCTATATGCACAGTCTTTCTCTAGCATCTTCAGGAATCATTGAAGTTATAAGGACTCTGCCTTTGGTTAACATTTTAAGGGATTGGAAATGAAAAGTCTGCTGTTTGTAAGGCTGTACTCTGTGTTACAAAGAGAGGGCAGTTTGCCTGTACAGGTCACGGGCATGGAAATTGGGACTGCTGGCCCAGTTCTGGGGTACCCCAACAGGAACCAGGGAAAGCACGATTCTCCTGGGGTGGTGCAGGGACTGGAGAAAGACACCAGGCAGAGCAATAGGTGTCCTACCACTGTGCCAAGACTTCAAACTGACATATTTCAGCTGCAAAATTAAATATTTTGGATTAAAAATGCTGCCTCAAGCAAGCATGTCAATAGTAATTCAGATACCTCATGGTCTGTTCCTCTCTGGTTCAGTTTGTCAGGTAGGCAGCATCTCATGTGGCGTGCCAGAGAAACCCTCAGCTGCTGTGGAGAGACCTGCCAGGCATTTTTTCACATTACATTTTTGCAAAAAAAAAATTAAATGGTGCAATATTTCCATTTTTAAATGCTGTAGTGGCACCCCAGACTCCATTCTCCTTTTCTGTAATTGTAGGAAAAAAAGGCATTTTACAAGCAAAGTAGGGAATCTACATTTTTTAGCCCCTTGCTCTGTAGAGTATCTGAAGCAGAAGAGATGGGATAAATAGTGCCTTTGCTAGTGCCTCATCTATCTTCTGCCAAATATATGGTGAGGCACTAATGCTGTGTTGTTGTGGGGGAACACAGGTGCACTTTGCAGCTACCAGGTCTGGGTGCACGTCCCAGGTTCACATGGAGATGTCCCCTGGCTCTGCACCAGCCTTCGCTCACGTCTCTCCACGCAAAAGAGCCACCGCAAGCCCTGACCAGGTCCAGCATGCAGAAGGGACATATGGAGATACCTCCAGGACTTACGGGGATACCTGCCCCCAGGACAGACATGGCTGTGCTAAGCGTTGTTTTTGCTTTCAGACAGAACAGCTCACGGCTCCTCTGATGCTTGAGTAATCTGTATGATCCCAGCACGCAGACAGCAGGCTTATTTTGGTGTCCTTAGGTGAGAGGGGAGAGTTTTGGTGTGAGAGGTTTCACTGACCTCATGAAAGAATTGACTTATCCATAGATCCTCTGTGTTTGCACAGCAGATCATCAGTAATTTTACTGAAACAAGAGCAAATCCTATTGCCGTACCTTTTTGTCCATGAATGAGCCACATTTTTCCTTACAGAAATTTGGGGGAAAAAAGATTCAGATCCCACCAAGGATAACAATTTACTTCCAGCTAGTGTTTGCAGGGCTGTTGTATGAAAAGGGTTTTTGAAAGAATTCACTTTTTTAGTAGGAAAAAAACTTAACCTGAAGTTGTATAGGAACAGATTTTTTTAGGTCTTTCAGAAGGATAAAATATAATGAAATTTTTGATAGATTTAATTTGATCATTAGTGAAATGTTGTGTTCCATTTTAAGATTATGAAACTTTTAAAAATCTGAAAGATTTTTCAAAGTATTTTTTCCCATTCTTTTTACTTCCAACTGTGCTTTTTTTTAACCAAAAGGTGACTGATATTTTGATATGAAAATTTTTATCACAAAAAATGACAAAAGAGAACATTTAGTTTCATTTCAACTGTCTCAGCTTTTTACAATTTTGCCCTCCTGCATTTCTTGGCTGAAAGAATTCACCAAATTTACTTGGATTTATGAATATTTCAAACACTCCAAGAGTCCATTTGGAGAAAAATGTACTTACTGTCAAACAAGTCCTAGTCTAAAATACAGCATCCCGCGTTAATCCTGAGTGTAACACTGTGATGGTCAAAGTTAACCAGGCATAGTGTGGCCTAATACATGGAAATACAAGGCATTTCAAGAATTGAAATGATTTCTGAAAGTAAAAGCTTATAGCTCATTTCTGACAAATGATCTTTGAAGGAAATTACTTGTTAAATTAATATCTTTATACTGCTTTTGGATTTTCCATTTTAGTGCTTCTTTGGAAACGTTAGTGTTGATTGCTACTGTATTGAGATTTGTAAATAGAAAAATGAACAAAAAATTACATTTATCCAGGAGGTCAAAACAGTGCCTGTGCTGAAGAGGCAGAGCTGACAAGGTGCAGAGTCACAGTCACAGGCTCACTGCCTCTCTGGATCAATGTTCTGCATCTTTTGGTATTTGTAGTTCACCATGCAATTCCTGTCATGCCTGTTCGGGTGCCTTTGTAAAGCCTTTGCTAGTGGGTTTTTAGTCATGCAGATCTGAGCTCTGAGATAAAATCCAGCCAACTAAACAAATGAACCTGAGGACCCCAGGCTCTAGCTGCGATGCCAGTGGCAGGATCCCGAGAGGGGCCTGTGGGAAGCAGCCCAAAGGCGTCTTGCCACTCTGGAGGTGTAAGCCTGAGCTGCATTTCTCTTCCCAGGACGTTTGCTTTATGCTGTGAGAGATCCGTGCCGCTCCCCACTGCTCTTCACCCTGTGCCAGAGGCTCCCCGTCTTTTGGCCTCTGCCCAGCCTGCAGCCACTTCTCTTCTTCAAAGGGCAAGGTGGGCCAGGGGCGCAGCAGCCCCCACCTCCCTCCCTGCCGGCTGCCTCGGGCAGATCCCACCAGCTGCAGAGAGGTTCCCCTCATTCGTCGGTCTTTACGGGTCTGTCCACAGGGTGGAGGTCATAACTTGCACATAAGCCAGACTGCACAGAAAATAAACATCAAATCTAGAATTATCGGGGATCAGGTCATGGAGCAGAAGGGGAAGGTAGAAAGCGAGTGGAAATATTTGTGTGCCAAGGGGAACAATGGCAAAAAGTCCTTGCCATGAAGAATGTTTTGTCTATGTGGTTTGTCTCGTGGTGCTGTTCCCCACCGCACGGAGCTGCAGTCCATCTCTCTCTAGCATAGATATTTGATGAGGAGGCTCGTGCCTCCTGTGGGTCCTCTGGATGCCGTGGTTTGGCTGTGGATGCAGGCGAAGATGCAGCGACCCTGGAGAGCCCACGCTTGGGGCTGTCGTTCAGAGGGGGTCGTGCCGGAGGGGTGAAGGCGAGGGCTGTCGCTTAACTGTGTGAGGCAGGAGCAGTGTTACAGAGGAATCTGTGCTGGTAGCAGGTTTCCAATGAAGGGAAAATGACTGCCATTCAGCGCTGCTGGAAACATGCTCTCTTCACACTGCAGTTGTCTGTCTTCCAAGCACAAGCGTATCACACTGAATATGGGTTCCTTTATTTCCCAGAGCCTAAAGTCTTTATTTCATAATTAGCATCTCACAATTCCAAAGAGAGGGGAACAAACAAAAGCATCTCTTGTCCAACATGATTTTTCCGTCCTCTCAGCAAGATTGTTTTGGTTTAATTGATCAGTTATGTAATCCCTTATTAATCCTAATAAAACAGCAGCAAAGTTATTTATCATGAGTATTACTCGAATTTGCTCAGTGATGTTCTGGACATGCTTTTTATTCTTTAGTAATATCTTACTAAAGTAACCAAAACAAAATTACTATTTACAGGCTTTAAGAAAGGAGGGATTTGAGAGAAAACTGAAGCACCTCTGACATGAGAAATCCCACGAAGGGGAATGAGACCAGAGGAGATTTTCGTTAAGACTCACATACAGATTTGAGCTGTGGAGTGGGACACAGAGAAATAAGAAAACTTCAGCAATGCTGATTTAAAAGAGGGCTCCGATGCCTGCTGGCAACCCCCATGAGGGGCTGGGGCCCTCCCCGGCTGGGCTGCAGTGGGTGCTCGGTGCTGGCTGATGTGCCACCCGTGCTTACAGCAGGAGCTAAGTGAGGGTCAGAAAGATTTCACCTTGGGTTACAAAGATTTGGTGGGAACAGACCCCTGCGAGGTAAGAGCCACCCCTGGATCAGACCCATGGTGCAGAGCAACAGAAGAGAGAAGGAAGGGGGTGCGATAATCCCAAAGCCTGGAAGTGATCCAAGGCACAAAGGGGGATGGAGCGAGCCTAGCAACGAGACCAAAATTCAGACCTTCACTAAACTCTCTTTTCTTTCCAGTGCGTTTTCTTCTGCTTTTTGTTTCATTCTGATTCTGGAGGAAATCCTGGCATGAGTTTTCTTCCCCTTACTGCTGGGACAATTTCAAGCACAAGTAGGTAGCAGTTTGGGAGTGTCCCCTCACTTTTTTCCAGAGCTGATGTGTGCCACGGGAATTTGCTGCCAGTTCTTTCTGTGACAAAACTCCTGACATGGTAACGACAGGTTTATTTTTTTCAACTGTTCTGTTTTGTCTTCCAGGGTTTGGCATGACCACCCCAGCCACCGTCGGAGGCAAAATCTTTCTGATATTTTATGGCCTTATAGGATGTGCAGGGACCATTTTGTTCTTCAACCTGTTCCTAGAGCGCTTGATCACTGTCATAGCCTACGTCATGAAGTCCTGCCATGAAAGACAGCTGAGGAGGAAAGGGGTCCTCCCTCACAATGGCCGGCGGGGCTCGGGGACCTCCGAGGTGGACAGCCTGGCGGGCTGGAAGCCCTCCGTGTACTACGTCATGCTGATTTTATGTGTAGCATCACTCATCATTTCCTGCTGTGCCTCTGCAATGTACACACCGATTGAAGGGTGGAGTTACTTTGACTCACTTTACTTCTGCTTCGTGGCCTTCAGCACCATCGGTTTCGGTGATCTGGTCAGTAGCCAGAACATCAAGTATGAGAGCCAAGGCCTTTACCGCTTTGGCAATTTTGTCTTCATACTCATGGGGGTGTGCTGCATCTATTCCTTATTTAACGTGATCTCTATTGTCATCAAACAGTCCATAAACTGGATATTAAAGAAGCTGGACTGCAGGTGCTGCCACAGATGCCAAAGAAAATTATTTCGTTCACGGAGGAATGTGGTAATGCCGGGAAATGTGCGTGGCCGGAGAAACATCTCCATCGAGACTGATGTTATCAATGAGAGTGACACAGATGGACGCCGGCTGTCAGGCGAGATGATCTCCATGAAAGACTTCCTGGCCTCCAATAAAGTCTCACTGGCCATAATGCAGAAACAGCTGTCGGAAACTGCTAATGGCTATCCAAGGCAAATGAGCTCTAATTCAAAGCAAAATGGATTCTCTGGTGGGGTTGGAGCCCTAGCAATTATGAATAACAGACTGGCAGAGACAAGTGTGGATAGGTAAAATAATAACAGTAATAACAGTGAAACAGTGTGAATCATTTCAACAAGTGTAGAAGCAACGTGAATCAAGTGGAAATGGCTAAGGAGAGAGTGTTGCCAGAGGGTGGGATGGATGTGAATGGCGTATCTCCTGTTGGAAGACATCTGACACTTTTTGGGGGCTGTCACTTAATGTCTTTGCTCTTTGAATTGCACCAGTCTTAGCCTTCCTTCTCCCCCTTCCTTTTGTTCCTCAACAGGTCACTGCAGGAGAAGTTTAATTTAGCCTTCAGATCAACTTTCCATGTCCTGTTCTCCTCCATTTATGTGAAATACAGATTTCAGGATAAGAAATCTGTGGTATGGGAAGAAACCAAGTGTGTCTACTGAACACCTTCTTCAAAGATTGTTCTGAGCTTTCTGTCATACTCTTGTCATACCTGTTTTCTGAAAGTAGCTTATCTGAGACCAAAAGAGGAATCAGCCTTTTTCTGTGATACTGCAGATCTAATTTAATGGAATAAAAAAACCAAACTATTTTCTTTTATATATCTCTTCTTAAAATGTATTCCTATTGTGAAACAGCTAGGCTTGAAAAGCCAGCTTCTGCTGCCATTAATATTTGTGTAAATCTGGAGTAATTCTATGCAAGTTTGTAGGACTACTCTGGCGCTATTGTAATGTGAAAGAGAAGAGAATTTGGCCTTCAGAATTTAATTTAGTCTTCCCTTTAAAAGGATACTGTCAAAAGTGATAGAATAAAAATTTATCTTACTTTTGTTTTCTTCTCTCCATTTGCAAAACGTGATTTTTTTCTAGGCTACTTTTTCTTGTAGAATTGAATCACTGTGGCTTTCTGTTTCAAAAATACCAAATTAAATTGAAAACCGCCATGATGACGAGTTGTATGAGTTATTCCACAATAACAATCAGAGACTTTTCCAAATTCTATTCACATTATGCTCAATTGTGACTGATGCAATTGAGCGGCAGCATTATGTAATGCAACTAGTAACTGAGTTTACACAACAGGCTTTAGTATGCAATTAGACTGCCATGCTGACATTCAGTGTATTATTATAAGTGACTGTGATCACAAAATCACTTTGGCAGTGTCCTTTTTACCTTTCATGTAATTCTGTCATTCTTAACCTGTTTTTCTGGCTTTCGGTGATGATAATGACAGGGTCTTGATTAGGGAAATAGAAAATGTTTAACTCCTCATTTTTCTCAATGAAATGCTCTGAGTGTTCATTATGACTAGAAAGGAGACTTCAATGAGAAGAAAAACAAGAGTGAGAAGAATATGAAAGCAGGAAGCAAGGTGATCTTTAATGACGGTAAAATCATGCTTTGTATTAGGTAACTGGAGAAATAAGGGATTAAATTAACATAAAGTCTAGCAAGAATCTGAGGAAGACTGGGCTGAATTCCTGATTCTCCATTAACCATGCAGTGCATTAAAGCTAAACAGTATATGAGAGTGTAAATAAGCAGAATTGGTCACAAAGGACCTGATCCAATTCCCCCTGAAGAGAACAGTACATGCATCAGAATAAATGTTTTCTCATAGCTAGAAAATCTTGCACAATACTACAATTTTAGGGAATTTAAAACACCAGTATGCAGTTCTTAATTTCTCTCATTTGGAACAATGCAGATAGCCTCTTCAGTTTAATTTGTATTAGGATTTAATATCATATCCTTTTTCTTCACTCTAGCCAAACGTTCTTTTATTTCGGTTCCTAATACTGTAGGATAACATTTTAATACTCATTTTAAGCAATATTTGAATTTGAAAACAAAAACATACCTCTTGGAATCCTTTCATATAATAAAGTAAAACCAGATATTAGATTAAACAACTGTACTTAACTAGTGAAAAGTATCGCAAGCTCTTTTTGACATATTGCAGCTAAAATGTCCTGATTAAAAGTTAAATCCTGCTGTCCTTAGTTACAAGGAGAGCTTCAAGCTGAAGCCATTAGTCCAAATTCTGATATCAACTCAGCTGTGCAGCAGTGGAATATCCCTAATAATAGCAGTGGAATATCCCTTCATATTTGCATCCATGTAAAATGCGAATCAGCTCCCAAATCCTAACTTTGGTGAGAAAAGCAGTCTGACTTGTTTCTGGGGCAGTTATGTATTAGCAAAAATTGCCACTGAATTATTTTAGAGGATATTATAGTACCCAAGATCCCTTACCTTGTTATACTTTTTTTTTCTCCCAAGACCTTCTTTGTCTTAACCTCACGGAATAAAAGTACTTGGATATAAAAAGAGAAAAGTACTGCTCTGAAGCCTTCTTTCCAAATTCATTCAGCAATGCCTCTGTTCACTGCCTGTAACCCCAAGATCTCACTGTTGCAGAAGTGTTCCTCATGCTGCCAACTAGCAGCAATAGTTTAGGACTTGACTCGTTGCTTAAGCAGGGCTCTCATTCTGGGCAGAACAGCCACAGTCTTGAAAACTGCAGCTTACTTCTCCATTTATGACAGTTAGTAACTCTTAATTGCAAATGTCAGATTTTGCTGAGCACTGAACACAGAAGTTACTCAACACTACTCCTTTTTCCAGATGATTAAGGCAGTGCATGTTATCATAGACAAATAACCAAAACATGCAAGTTTCTTTAGTTCATTTATTATATAGTTCTGTGTCATCGTTAATGAAGTATCTGGCTTTGATTTTCACTCAAATCCTTCCATATCTAATTAGCTTTCAAAATTTGGTTCTGGAAGTCTAAATGCAAGGCAATATTCATAGCAAATAGATGAGAAAGCAAATAGAAGGAGAGAAAAACATATATACAATGATGGAAATAGATACAAAATTACGATCTGTATAGTCAATTCAACAGAGATTATTTAGCTTTTAGAATATGACAGATCCCAGTAACAGTTCATTAAGATGGTCTTCAGATGGTTTCAACTGCTCCCAAGACATGAGACAGTTATGTTGCTCCTTGCCATGCTTTGTGATACCAAGCCTCGGTTACCCATCCCCACAGAGGAATCTTTATCAGGTATGTGCAATAGATCTGAAAACATCTATGGTTATGAAAGCAAGGGGCTAGTATGTAGTCTTGATCAAACAGACTGGGCAAGGCCGTATGAGATCTTTGGTGTACGCTAGCTCTGCCTTTGTTGACCAGTCCTGATTTTCCGCTCTCTCAAGCACTGGCTTCCTCATGACCCAAGCCTGCCAGTTGCAAGGCTCTCTACAGTGGTTTTGTGGTCTGATTTCATGTCCACTGAAGATAAAGAGGAAATAAGTGCACTAATTTTGTCTAATCATCTCTGTTTAGATGTGAATTGCCATTTCAGAGATGAAGGGCCAGTACATTCTGTGACTGTGCCATCTTGTATCATGATGTCATCCTGTCCCTAAAACACCTCTGACTTTGTCATTGAGTTCCCCCCCTAGAAGCCTTGCTGAACATTGAATGAAGTAGCTTTACCTAGGAGACCAGTAGAATTCTTAGAGAACATTTGGGGATCAATAAGAAGACTTTTAAGATCGGAAAGGGAAATTTCTGACTCCAGTCCAATGGTACTACTACAGTTGTTTTTTCTAAAGGCATTGGACAGAAATCCCCAAAAGCTCAGTTCATAATGTAGCATCAGGTTATTAAAGGTAAACATACACGTGCCAAAAAAAGCAGAATTTAGCATAGAAGTGACAAATGCCCATCCTGTGTGAAAAATAAAATAAAAATACAGACAACATTGCATTTCTTGCATTACTTTTTAAAGTAGTGATGAGGAATTAAAGGAAATAGTGTCAAATAGTCAGGGATCTATTTTCAAAGCTGTGTAATCTAAATTTTAATGCCATGTTGCTTAGCACTAAAATCTCAGTCAACAAGACAGAAACTTGTTTTCAAAAGTACTGAGTTTCCCCTGCCTGCTATGAATTTGCATGATGGATAATGAGATACAGGTGTGGTTTATTACGCAAAAATATTTTTGGGAAAACCTTGGATGTACTGAGGTTCTGAATCTGCACCCAACAGGTCAGGAGTACCGCTAAAATCAGTGGGTTAAACGGCAAGTTGCAGCCTGGCAGACTGAAACTGGAAGTCCTTAATGGACTAATTTCCTGGAAGCTGGGCTTATAGTTATGCCACTCCTTCATAGTATCATTATTATACAATATAATTATTGCACATTGAAAGGAAATATTTAGTGCTAACCAAAATACAATCAAATAAGTAAAGGTAGCTCTTAGGGGGTTTTTTTGCTAGTCCTAGGTTTTGTAAAATTTGTGTATCATCAGATGCTTTGCTGGGTATGTAGGTGTCATAGGAGCTACATTAATTTATCTCCATGAAGGACATGGTCCTCTGTTTACAAGGATGCGTATAGGCTTTTCAAAGGCATCTATTTAAGTCAATTCACTTCCCACTGTACATTGACTTTCAGTAGAAGTCAGGTACCTAATTCCCTTAGGCAATTTCAAAATCCCAGCCATGTTTTAGGTTTTTAATCTAAGCTGAAATGACAGTGTCCCTGAAAAGTTCAAACACTTGGAGCAAGGTTTCAGTGCTGCAGCACAGTAATAGCTGAATTCATTTATTTAAAAGCCTTTTACAGTGAAAGCTTTGCATCAACCAAATAGCACAAGCAATGTTTACAGTTTGTTTGATTTAATCCTGGCCTCTGCCAGTTCTAATTATATTTGACACATTCATAAATTGAGTAACAAAGAGAAGGTTGGGCTGGGCATGAAAAACAAACCATCTCCATTTCTCAGACTGAATTAATCGAGAGAAAGAGGTCAAGT